CCGGGACCCCATCGCAGAGGGCCAAATGCGCTTGGAAAACCCTTTGGAAATCAGTTGAGCCAATCGTTGCCTGTTTCCGTTGGCACTCGTCTGTTATTCTTTTTTCCTTTTTTTTTTGTGGCACTCTTCATCTCTATTGGCTGCTGCCTTTTCCGAGACTTTTCCAGCAACAACATGCCCTCCCCCTACCCTCTACAGTTGGCACAAAATTGCGGCGAGGAATCCTCCCGTGAGACTTTTCCAGGCCGCGGACTATGTGAAAACACAAATTGATGTTTTTCCAAGCCGCAATCTTCGGTCTGTGGGGTCCTGGAAAAGGGTTTGCGGAAGAAATTTCACCTTTTCCAGGACATTTGCGGCAGGCTGTGGGGTCCTGGAAACAGCTTTGCGGCAACGTTTTTCCTTTCCGCGGTCCTGTGGGGGCCTTGCCTTGGTCTACTGTAGAAAAGAGCTGAATTGGAAATCTCCAGTGCAGGCATCAACGGATGTCAAACAGGGATTGCAGGCCCAACGACAGTGAAACCACTTGACCCCGGCACACAGGTTTCATCTTTGGCCAATCTTTTTGCCCCAATCCAAGCAGATGATGTGCCGAAGGTCGGTCTTCACTGTATGAAGTACTTGCTGAACTGAAGGCGGCTCGCCATTTCTGACCACAGCATTACGGTGGCGCCATAGATGCCACAGTACTGTTGCCCTGATGGTTTCGTATACTTTTTTTTTTTTTTTTTTTTTTTTTTTTTTTTCAAAAAAAAAAAAAAAAAAAAAAAAAAAAAGTGAACTATGTATCGGATGCACCTCAGGAGCATGGTTCCACTAGCGAAGGAGTAAGGTGAACTCTGTCCCACAAACACCTGTGGGAGATCTGCGGGACATCGACCGACCACTGATGCAGGAGAATCGGATGGCAGCGAAATTGCCAGGGATTTATTTTCTGAAGTGGTGTTTGTTTTTTTTTGGTTTTTGTGCTCTTTCTTTTCAGTTCCCAAGAATGGGAGGCGGGAAAAGAAAATAGAAAGACTCGTTTTTTTTTTGTTTTTTGTTTTTTAATATTGACGTCTTTTTATTAGGGCCAGTGCCCGAGGTCAAAAATACAATGGTACAGGTTCCAGATTCAGGGGACGTTAGGTCTCCGGCCTGCTTCATGAGGTGGAGCCCCTCCCCTGTGACAAAATCAATGAAAAGAGAAGAAAGATCATACTGCTAACAATCAACCACAGAAGAATTACCTTTCCTAATCTTAGCAGTAGTTTTTTTTTTTTTAGGGATCAGGAAAAGAAGCAAAAGAGTTGGGCAAGGACCCCACAGCTTTGTGGATGGAAAAGTGGTTTGCCCATGAAAAGCGGGMAAGTCATTTTGGAAAGTCGGACAGTACTTTTTCCGGGACCCCATCGCAGAGGGCCAAATGCGCTTGGAAAACCCTTTGGAAATCAGTTGAGCCAATCGTTGCCTGTTTCCGTTGGCACTCGTCTCTTATACACATCTAGATGTGTATAAGAGACAGGTGTGGGGAGCATCACCTGCTGGAAACCGGGTCCAGCGTCCCTTGAATACATTTTTGAATTGATAAGATAATGATACAGATTTTGCTGGGAACCGGGCCCAGCGTCCCTTGTACCTCTTCACCCTTAATTGAGTGGCGCCAGGTATCTCAGTTAAGCCCTGGTACTAAACTTGGATGATAATTCTGATAGTCTTTGCTACTGGAAACCGGGTCCAGCATCCCTTAGACAAGAACACTTAATTAATCCAAGCCRTACCAACTCAAAGGCACCAAGCACAAGGATGATAATGTGAATGGATCAGGAAAGTCCGATAATGGTCTTAGCGGAATCACAGGCTCCACCGTAGTCCAATCATGAAAATGTAGTTGATAGATCCTTTTGATTTCTGATTGTCCCTTTTTCACATTAGCTCTTTTCACTTCCTTCCACTTTATCACTCCCACCTTTCCTTCCTTGGTATCCCCCAGCCAGTCGCTGCTGAATTGTTGAATATGACGGTCAATTTCTGATTGTATCGATAGATGTTGAATCTTTTCCTTGACTTCATCCCATTGAGCCGATATCTCTGTTTGAATCTGCTGCTTCATTGATTCCGTGAATTCTGGTCCTTCCAGTCTAACTCCTTCCATCTCATTTGTACATCTTCTGTGCCAAAGAGCCCATAAGATGACTCTCCTCCCAACTAGGAATAGATTTTGAGTGAAATCATCCAGCTGAGGGGGATTCCAAGTTTCACATAGGAGGGTTTTCCAATCCCATGGCCACGGGAGTGAGGATGTGAGTTGACTCCAAATCCTATCCCACCATCGCCATAGCCATACCGCACTGGGGCACTGTAGAAAAATGTGCTCTATGGTTTCAAGGATTTTTCTTGATGGGAAGGTTGATGTTCAGAATTTGCACCATGGTAGGGCTAAACCT